AACTACACTGTTTTCTGTTTGTTTTGGTTCATTAGTTATAGTCGATTTTTTCATTTAAATGTTATTTTTTTCACTCTTTTACCTTTACAGTTATATTTCTAGCAAGTGATACTGCTTCTTTTAAAAACTGTGGGAAAAGCAGATAACACAAAATGTATCATCTGAACCATTTTTAAGTGCACTAACACTATATTCACATTGTTTTGCAACAGAGTTCTAGAACTTTTTCATCTTGTAAAACTGAAACTGTGCCCACTGAATAACAACTCACCATTTCCCCTTCCCTCCAGCCTTTGGCAACCACAGTTCTACTTTCTGCTTCTATGAGCTTGAACTACTTTAGATACCACTAAGTTTTGGTGGTTTTACGGTTTTACTGTGGCTATGTCAGAGAATATTCTTGTAGGAAGTACACAATAAAGTATTTGAGTGTGATGGGACATCATGTTGGCAATTTATTATCAAATGGTTCCGGAAAAACAGTTCTTTGTGCTATTCTTGCAACTCTTCTATGAGTTTGAGATAGTTTGAAAATAAAGTTTAAAAAAAAAAGATTGTTTCTTCCTTAAATATTTAGTACATTCACCACTGAAGCCATTAGGATCTGGAATTTACTTTGCAAGAAAGTTTTTAGTTGTGACTCAATTTCTTTAATAGATACCAGGGTATTCAGATTTTTCTTTTTCATCTTCTGTCAGTCTGGCAAGTTTGTACTTTTCTAGGAATTTGACTATTAACTCTAAGTTTTCAAATTTATTGGCAAAAGATTGTTTATGATGTCCTCTTATTATCTTTTAAAATGTCTAAGATTTATGTTGATAATCTTTTCCATTCATTAAATTGGTTATTTGTGCCTTCTTGTTTGGTCATTCTCACCAGGGATTTATCAATTTAATTATATTAGTCTTTTCATGGAACCAACTTTTGGCTTTGTTGATTCTTTCCACAGTGTATTTGTTTTATTTCATTAATTTCTGTTCTTTTTTTTTTACTTTCTTTGGTCTTAGCTTCTTGTTTGTTTTACAGCTCCTTGAGATGGATGTTTGAGTCATTGATGTTTAGCTTTTTTAACTGTCATTATGAATATGCTCCTGTGAATATCTGCATACAAGTTTTTACATCAACATATTCATTTCTGTTGAGTATATATCTCCTGGGTGTATCTATCTCCTGGGTCATATGGTAACTCTATGTTTAATTGTTTGAGGAATTGCCTGTTTGCCAAAGCAGCTGCTCATTTCACTTTCCCACCAGCAATGTAGGAGGGCTTCAGTTCCTCCACATCCTCACACTTAACTGACAAAAATTGTACATATTTAAGGTGTACCACATGATGTTTTAATACATGCATGTACTGTGAAGTGATTATACCATCAAGCTAATTAACATCCATCACCTTACATAGTTTTTTGTGTGTGTGCATGCGCGCATGCGTGCTGAGAACACTTATCTACCCAGAAAATTTCAAGTATACAGTACAGTATATTAACTGTAGTCACCATGCTGTACATTAGATCTCAAGAACAACTGAAACTTTGTACCCTTTGACAAACATCTCCCCATTCCCCTCCCCCCACCCCAGCCCCTGGCAACCACTATTCTACTCTCTGCCTTTGTGAGTTTGACTCTTCTAGATTGCACATGAAATTGAGATCATTCAGTATTTGTTTTTCTGTGTCTGACGTCCTCCATGTTCATCCATGTTGTTGCAAATGGCAGGATTTCCCTTTTTTTAAGGCTGAATAATATTCCATTATACACACACACACACACACACACACACCACATTTTCTTTATCCATCCATTCATCAGCAGACACTTAAGTTGTTTCCGTATCTTGGCAATTGTGAATAATGCTGCAATGGACAGGGGAGGACAGAACTCTTTGAGAAACTGATTTCATTTCCTTTTGATATACACCCAGAAATGGAATTACTGGATCATATGGTAGTTCTATTTTAAATTTTTTGAGGAACCTCCATACTATTTTCCATAATGCCTCTACCAATTTACATTCCCATCAACAGTGTTCAAGAGTTCCCTCTTTTCCACATCTTGGCCAGCACTTGTTATCGCTTGTCTTTTTGATAATAGTCATTCTAACAGGTGTGAGGTGATATCTCATTGTAGTTTTGCATTTCCCTGATGATTAGTGATGTTGAGCACCTTTTCATGTACCTGTTGGCCATCTGTATATATTCTTTGGAAAAATGTATATTCAAATCCTTTGCCCATTTTTAATCAGATTGTTTTCTTGCTATTGAGTTGTCCAAGTTCCTTATATATTGTTAATATTAACCCCTAATCAGATATATAGTTTGCAGTATTTTCTCCCATTCCATAGGCTGTCTTACAACACTTGTAATTGTCTTTTTGATTATAGCCATCCTAGTGGATGTGAAATAGTATTTCATTGTGGTTTTGATTTGCAATTCCCTAATGACTAATGATGTTGAGCATCTTTTCATGTGCCACTGACTATTCGTATATCTTCTTTGGAGAAATGTCTGTTGAAATCCTTTGTCCATTTTTTTTTTTTTTTTTTTTTTTGGCTGCACTGTGCAGCTTGCCAGATCTTAGTTCCCCAACCAGAGATTGAACCCTGGGCCACGGGAGTGAAAGCGCCAAGTCCTAACCACTGGACCGTGAGGGAATTCCCTTTGTCCATTTTTAAATTAGGTCTATTTTTTAAATGTATACTAATTACAATTATTTTAAAGCCTGTGTCTGTTAGCACCAATACCTGGATCTCCTGTGAGTGTCTTTCAACTATTGTTTTTTCTCTTAGTTATTGGTTATTTGATATTCTGGATAATTTTAGATTTGATGCCAAATATTGCATATAAAAACTTGTAGAGATATAATTTGAAGTTTTGAGTGCTGTTATTTTCCTCCAGAAAGAATTTCTTTCCTCTGGCAGGCAGGTCAGGTGGAATCAGATCATCTTAATCTGATCAGCGATTGAAATGATTTGAATCTGGACTTCAGTCTTTGTGAGGGATGGTCTGTTTCCAGTTTGCTCTTATTTTTAGGGTTTCGGGGATCCTAACTAAAAGCTGGGTTTTTTCCAAGACCTCTCCTCCTTGACAGGTCTGAACTCCAGTTTTTGCCCCTCTTGAGATGGACAGAGCCTCTCTTCAGCTTCTCAGCCACCACTTTCTTATCTGCATACGCCTCAAGAGGAAAAGCAGCATCGAAATGTCGGGCGTACCTCTCTGCTTCTCTTCTCTCTAGGAGGCTGGACTTCAAGTCCTTGATGCCTTGATAGCTCTTCGTTGACTTCAGACTTTCCTTTGAAAACATGTATTTTTTCTGTCTTTTCTAGTTTTTCTTGACAGAAGGTTGGCCTGACACCAGCTAACCCACCATCACTGGAATTGGAAGTCTCAAACATATCTCTTTTTCATATTTTGTCCAGGTTTGGTTAGTCCTTCTCAGTGCAAGAGTTGGTCATAACCATTTAGCCCACCCTTGCTAGAACGCTCATGCGTTTTACCTTAAATTGTTTACATGTGTTTATTACTAACGCTTTGACATAGGGCCAGTCCTTTTCTTGGAATAAGTGTTCACTGATTAGGGTTCACCTGGTCTTACATAAACCATATCCATAATGCCTTTTTTATAGGGTCTAGTTTCCATTCCCCAAAAGTGGAGACATAATTTAAAATTAGTTGTGGAGCAATCTGATTGCAGATTCTTTTAAAATTTTTATTACTGTTTCCCACCCTAATTGTTTATAAGTATCTCACCCATGCTTAATTCAACAACTATTATTTTTAGCAAATCATTTTTATCTAGTTTTTCCAAAGTGTTCATATGGATTTCATAGAAATAACAAGTCTTTCTTTTTGCACATATTTCATCAGTTTAATTAAATTACATTTGATGAAATGTTTTAAGTGTTTAAAGTTTAAATGTTTAATAAATCACATCATGTAAATTAAACTACATGATTACAATACAAACTACAACTGGCATACATAGGTTTAAGAACAAACACAACTAACCCTTCGTAAGCATAGAACCCAGCTAGTGGGAGCAGATTATCATATAGCAGCAAGGGTTTGGTGAACCATGGGCATCAGAATGTTTTAGAGAGGGAATGGAAAGTACCAGTTAGTATGCTGATTGAGTTAAGTGGATGTTGTGTAAGAGGCCTTGTAGAACTAAGGCTGGGATAGCAACAGCATACGGGAGAAGTGGAGGAAGAGCCTTGAGGATGTAAAGTTCTTAAAACAGTGCTTGATATATAATAAACACTTAATAAGGTTATGCTACTGATGTCATGATTATTTTCATCATCATTGTCTGAGATGTCTGGAAAAAACAGGAAGGGGCTCAGATCTGACATCAGCCCTCCTAACCCAGCCACTGTTCCAAGCTGAAGCTCTTCTGAAAAGAGCAGTTATATGATAAACAGATTATGGTACATTCACACAATGGAATACTCAGCAATAAAATGGGATGAACTATAGATACAGACAGCAAGTTGGATGAAACTCAGGGGCATTACACTGAGTGCAATGAAAGAAGCCAGTCTCAAAAGGCTGCATACCGTATAATTCATTTATATGACAGTCTGTCAAAGGCAAAACTATTGTATAGTGATGGAGAACGGATCAGTGGTTGCCAGGGGATAGGAGTCGGGGGGGGAGGATGGGACTACAATGGGAGAGCACAAGGGATTTTGGGGGAAGTGACACAACTGTCCTGCACCCTAATTTTGGTGGTGGTTATTCAAATCTATACGTGTGTTAAAATTCATAGAACTGTATGCCAAAAACAACAAATTTACTGTATGTTAATTAAAAAGTATGAAATTAAAACTAAAACCTTAAGAAACAGTACTGTGGAGAGCATCCTACTGTCTAGGCATCTAAGCTGGCCTGGCCCCAAGTGCAGTCTGGCTGGCTCTTGTGTCTGAGCGGAGTATGTGCACCCAGGCCTGGTCCTCTTCCTGGGCCGTTGTCACTCACTGGCTTTTTTCTTCCTTGTGTTAGATTGGAGCTGGAGGGAGCATCACTGGGCTGAAGTTTAACCCTCTCAATACCAACCAGTTTTTCACCTCCTCAATGGAGGGAACAACTAGGCTGCAAGACTTTAAAGGCAACACTCTCCGAGTTTTTGCCAGCTCAGGCACCTGCAAGTGAGTAGTTTAACTCAGAGGGGAAAGGGCTTCTAGGCTCTCAGTGTAGTTCTGGCGAGAGCATCCAGGTCCCATTTCTTTCACCCAAACCTGGCACAGGGAAGAAAGGAAAGGTGTTAGCTCCTTTCCACGTTTCCCTCTCTTTCTCAGACGTTTTCTTTAGCTGCTCTTACTCTGGGCCAGGTGGGTTACTGCTTCAGGGAGTGGTTCTGGAGCTTCAGCTCTTCTGTCAGTCATTCCTGTATTAGACTAGACCTTGATTCTCACTGGACAAGTCAACATGGCATTTGCCTAGAAAGCCACTTAAAGCCTGGACCAGGAATGAAGAACTTAAGATTCCATTCCTTGCATTCACTGGGATGTAATGACCTGACCAGTTCCTTGATGGAAGCTTAAATGGATACAATCATGTCCATAAAGCACTTTGGACTCCCCAAGAGCAAGTGGCTGGAGAAATTACAAAATGCTTGTCACTTTGATTTCTAGCAAGAGACATGACTCTGCTCCCTAGGTATTTGGGGGTGTGGGGGTCTAACTAGCACTGGGCTGCCCCACAGGGGTAAGAAATACAGGAGCAATAGGACAGGTGACAGAATAGACTTACTCTTCCACAAGAAGCCCTCCCCCTGAAAGATGTTTACAAGGGATGCAAAAGGCAGTGTAGCAAGGATTTGAGGGGAAAAAATGTAAATCTGAGCTCTCCTGGCTGGGTATCAGGATCCCTGAAGCACCCTCCAACCCCATCTCTTCACATCATGTAGTCTGAGGGACAAAAGAGCAAGATACAGCTTCTGAGTTGTGTGTGCCTTTCCCCCTGAATGCTCAGAAGGGGGCAGAAGTTCCTTTCTAGCCAGCTGTGAGGAACAGAGCTGGGCAGTCCCTGTTTGGTGTGTCACATCTCCTTTGGCCCGACCAAGGGTGGAGGGTGAAGGGAGAAAGCAATACCTGAGTCTTCCTCAGGACCCAGGGCTGAAGGGGGCAAGCCCGCCTGGGGACCTGCGTTATGGCTCTGGGTTTGGCTGCTTCAGGGACTCTGAGTAGCTGAGGATCCTGGGCCCAGCAGTAACTGGACAAGTTTCTGAGCCCCACCACCCCCATAACCTCTGTGGGGATGGTAGACAAGTCTGAGTGCTCCTCACTGGGAGTCCACGACAAGTTATTCATTCATTCAACAAATATTTATTGACTGTCTAATATACGTGAGCTGCAACAGTGAATAAATGGAACTTGCCTCTGTCCCCAAGAATCTTACAGCACAGTCTCTCCCTCCAGCTTCTGGTTTTGCAGCCTGGATGTGTCTGTCAGAAGCCGAGTGGTGGTCACAGGAGATAACGTGGGGAACGTGATCCTGCTGAACATGGACGGCAGGGAGGTGCGTTCTCTGGAGCCCAGGTCCTCCCCTTCCCTCCCTGACCCCCAGCCTCGGTTCTGCACCCCCCACCTGAACCGAGCTCTTCTCTGCAGCTTTGGAATCTGAGAATGCACAAAAAGAAAGTGACCCACGTGGCCCTGAACCCGTGCTGTGATTGGTTCCTGGCCACAGCCTCCGTAGATCAAACAGTGAAAATCTGGGACCTGCGCCAGGTTAGAGGGAAATCCAGCTTCCTCTACTCGCTGCTGCACAGGCATCCCGTCAACGCAGGTGTGGTATACCAGACCTCGTCCTTCCTGCAGACCCTGCTGACCTGACCCCTTCAGGGGTTTTCCCTCAAAGTGTAGAAGCCACTAGGCCAAACCTTCATACCCCTGATAGCATCGGCCAAGCTGAAGTCCTGAAGCCTTTCTGACTCTAGCTGCTCGTATCAGCTGCTGAGCCTCTAGGATGTTTTTGTTCGCAGCCCAGATTCACCTCCCTTCCACCTGTCTCTAGAAAGGAGAGGGAGGGAGGGTGCCCCTGCAAGAGGCCTGTGAGAGCCAGGACAACAGGGCGCCCGTGGTTCCCTGAGCTCAGGGGCTTTTCACTTTGCCAGCTCATTTCAGTCCTGACGGTGCCCAGCTCCTGACCACTGACCAGAAAAGTGAGATCCGTGTTTACTCTGCCTCCCAGTGGGACTGCCCCCCAAGCCTGATCCCACACCCTCATCGCCACTTCCAGCACCTGACACCCATCAAGGTAAGTAATGGAGGGAAGGGAGCTGTGATCATGGGATGGATCAGGTCTACCAGGGTGGGGAGAAGGGGGTAGATACAGAAGCCTTCAATGCTAGACCTCTTCCTGCGCTGACACAAAGCAATCTCTTATTCTCTGGCTCTCTCTGCACCTTTTGTCCAGCTCTGTGATCCCATTTTGCTGAGTTTTCTTCATGTCTCTTTGATAAGCTTATTTCCCTGAGTTTTTTCCACACAGCCCAGCTCTCACTGTGGGCACTTTCTGAGATCCTAACCCTCGGTTCTGCCCTTAGTTTCAGTTACCTGTGTGTGCAGCTGATCTGCAACCTAACCTTAGCCCTCATTAGCGGCTTCTCTGGCCTCAGTCCCTAAGGCTTACAGTCTTCAAGTCCTGTGATTCTTTCCTGCTCATGCCCCAAGCAGTCTGAACTCTGCCAGTCCTTCTGCTTTACTAGTATATATTCTTTCCTAGAACCACAGCCCCTCTTCAGACCTCCAGATCTCATGCCTGTACTTCTCTAGTCAGTATAGCATAGTTCAGGCAGGCGGACACTCCCGGGGTTAGAATCCTTGAGCAAATTACTCAAATTTTGGATCCCAGTTTCCTGGTCTATAAAAAGCGAATAATGGTATCTGCCTGACAAGGTTGTTGTGAGGATAAATCCTTATACTTAAAGCACGTGGCAACGTGCTTAGCGCCTAGTAAGTACTCAGTAAACAGTGATGACTTGGTAGTAGAGTGGCCCCCACGTACCTCAAATCAAATCCAAGCTCTCAGTAACATCAGGGTCCTTTAGCAGTTGGTGTTCCCCATTGATCCTTCCTTCCTTATCTCCCACTTGGTATCCAGCCAGCCCAACCAGCAGCATCCCAGGTGTGACTTATTTATGACTTATTTCCAAGCCACTGCCGGTAGCACTTCTTCCTTCCTGCTAACCATGTCTTTTCTCCTTCAGAACTTCCTGGAAAAGCTTTCTTGGGAAAATCCCATCAAGTTCTGTCATTCCAATAGCTGCTAGATTTGTTTTGAGCAGGGTGATCTGAGGAACACAGGTGTCCTCCCCTTTTTCAGTCACTAGCCATTTTCTACTCAACTCATTGACATTGATGGAGGAGGGAGAGTAGTGGGATTACTTCAGAACTTATTAGGTCCTATTTGGTTTTGCTTACCGGAGGCTTTTCGCTTTGTTTGTAGGCTTACCTCTTTGGTTCATGTCTGGGTCGGGCTGATGTTAAAACATTTATCAGTTGGTATGATCTCAGGAAATGCAAAGGAGAGAGAAGGCCTGAAGGTGTCCTAAGGGTCAGGGAGGCCAGCTGGGGATTTTAAATTTGCAACGGTAGATGCGCACGCACTTGAAAACCATTCCTGTTGTTTCATGTAGGTCTTATCTCCATTATTAAATTGTTGGCAGTTGTATTAACAAGTGTTGTTAGTGGCAAAGATACTTTTGATGTCCCTCTTGACAGTGTTCTGCGTTTACTCTTGTGACCTGCCTCTCCATCTCCTAGGCAACCTGGCATCCTCGGTACAACCTCATTGTCGTGGGCCGATACCCAGATCCTAATTTCAAAAGTTGTACCTCCCATGAATTAAGGACGATCGATGTGTTTGACGGAAGCTCAGGAAAGATGATGTATCAGCTGTATGACCCAGAATCTTCTGGTATCATGTCGGTGAGGCTTGGGCCCTCAAATAATAATGGGAGGAAGCAGGGATTCACCTTACCTTACTGGATCAAAAATGACCAGAAATTAATCCTTATGTGCCCTTCTCCCAGTACCCTCATTCCCTCCTCATGCTTATCCCCTTGTCTCTGCAGCTCAATGAGTTCAATCCCATGGGGGACACACTGGCCTCTGTGATGGGTGAGTGAATCTCAGGCTGGTAAAGCCCACCCTACTCCCCAAGGTTCAGGGCAGGTTAACCTCAGCTTAGTGCTGCTCCATTCACCCCAGGGTCGTAGTCAGTAAAGATGATGACCAGGGGACAGCGGGCTCTTTGGCCTAGGCCCTCCATCCCTCTTGCTTTGTCTTGGTCACAGCAATGCCTGGCTGCTGCCCAGTTTCCTGGTATCTCCTTATCAAGTCCTAGGTTCCCCACGCCAGCCCCAAGTTTTCAGAGGCTGATAATGGACGGTGCGAGTCAGACTGGTCTCACTCCTCCTAGGTTATCACATTCTCATTTGGAGCCAGGAGGAAGCTGGGAAGCGTAAATGAGAGACATTAATGAAGGTGGGGGCCAAGCAAGGGCTTGGAGCCCCATGGGAACAAGTTCTGCGAGAAGAGGCGGCTTTGTGTTAAAGGGCCAGAGGTATCCGAGTCCTTAGGGTTGGAGCAGGGGCACTGGGACTGCGACACTGGGACTGGGATACTGGCATGTACTGTTCTGGACGTAGCTCCAGAAACTCCAGAGTTGGCGACCCAGCTGCCCCAAGGGTCCTTGCTATATCTAGCCTGGAGCCAAGCTTCTCTTTTCTCCTCTCTGACATGCAGTGGCAGAGGATCAGGTAGTGGTTTTCGATTTGTGTTCACTATTCACATGGCCAATAAAACCATACCCGACTGAGCTTCTGAGTGGGTCTTCCAGCACTGACCTGGTCAAAGGGCTTCTCAGGTCCCCAAAATGAAGAATAGGCACAGAAAACAGCACTAAGAGTCCAAAACCTTCATTCTCTGGAAGCTGTCTCAGCCCTATTCTGGGTCACAGTCAGGAGCTATTCAGCTCACAACCTGCCAGCTGGAGATCCCTGGCAGATCCCAGGAGATCCCAGCCTAGATGAGAGGGATAGTAGTTTCGTGATTCTGTACAACTCACCCCCCCACACCTCCCCCGACTCCCTCCCAAGTACCCACATCCTTCCGACCTGCTCAAGGTGCAGGGGTGACAAAGATGCTGGAAGCATTATGTCTGACTCCAGTTAATGGTGGCTTCAGCTGGACAAAGGAAAACTTCGCTGGCTGGCTCTTGGGTGATCTGGTTCCTTGGTGGCCAGTGTTTGTACCCCCAGTGTTGTGCAGTTTTTCCCACTAAAATAAGCACTGAGAGGCAAGACTGTGTCCTCTGGGCCATTTGCCAAACACTCTGGGTTGGAAGAGAGAGTGAGCAGGGCTTGATGGAGAGGCAAAGCAGATCAAGCGGCAACTCCCTCAGCCTTTTAATCCTAGGTCCTGAGTGAAACTTGAATACTCGTCTACATTTCAGGTCCTTAGAAGGGAGCATGGAGGAGGCAAATCCGGTTTGGAGAAAGCCAGCGTCCAACACAGTAGTTGGTTAACGTCAGGCACATGAATGCTGAGTGACAGGTGCCACAGGCCAAGCTGAGCCCCACTTGTTCATCTAGGCTGGGGTGACCAGAGGGAGGCCCAACCCAGGGTCTCCTGTCCATGGGCTGGGGAGCAGCAACAGTCAGGAGCAAGGCCCAGCCCACCTCCCCGAGGAGGCAGAGGGAAGGGGGCTGAGTGGTTGTCAGGCATGGTCCTCCCCGTCTGGAACGTGGCGGTAGCCAGGAGGCTGGGCCTGCATCCGGAAGAGGACGGTGAGGAGCAGCACTATGAGAAGGAAGAGGATGGAGCCACATACAGCCAAGGCCACGATCACCTCTGGGCACGGGGCAGGGAGGGCGAGAGAAAGGTCATGTCAGTGTTCATTCAGCAAATATCTGAGTGCCTGCCACACGCCAGGTGCTGTTCTTACAATGGGGATATCACAGGGGGCCAAGACAAAGTCTCCCTTGTAGATTTTACATTCTAGGAGAGGAGATGCCATGACAGGCAAATGATAGACATGATGGATTAGTGGCAAATGCCATAAAGGAAAACAAAGCAGGGTAAGGGGGAAATGATGGAGAGGTAGGTCAGTCAGGGAAGGTGTCACTGAGAAAGTGACCATTTGAACAGAGACCTGGAGTCACTGAGACATACAAAAGATCTGAGAGAAGAGTGTCCTGAGGCCAGGGGTCAGGGGGTGGGGTGGGTGGACGGGAAGCAAATGCAAAAGGGAATTTGCCTGGCATGTTCTAGGACTAGCAAGAAAGTCAGTATCGCTAGAGCAGAATACACAAGCACAGGAGATGAGGGCAGAGGACCAGACCAAGTAGGGCCTGGAGGCCATGGTAAAGAACTTGGGTTTTTGTTTTTGTTTTTTTTTTAAATTTATTTATTTTTCTTATTTATTTTTGGCTGTGTTGGGTCTTTGTTGCTGCATGTGGGCTTTCTCTAGCTGCAGCGAGCAGGGGCTACTCTTTGTTGTGGTGCGCGGGCTTCTCACTGTAGTGGCTTCTCTTGTTGCGGAGCATGGGCTCTAAGCGCACGGGCTCAGTACTTGTGGCATGCGGGCTCAGTAGTTGTGGCTCACGGGCTTAGTAGTTGTGGCTCGCGGGCTTTAGAGCGCAGGCTAAGTAGCTGTGGTGCACGGGTTTAGTTGCTCCGCGGCAATGTGGGATCTTCCCGGACCAGGGCTCGAACCCGTGTCCCCTGCATTGGCAGGTGGACTCTTAACCACTGTGCCACCAGGGAAGCCCAAGAACTTGGGTTTTATTCCAAATGTAATGGGAAGCCACTGGAAGATTCTGAGAAGAGTAGTGATGTGAACTGATTTATGTTTTAAAAAAATTAACTCTGTTGTGCTGAAACACTGGTAAGGCCAAGAACAGAATCAGAAAGAACGTTAGGAAGCTTTTCAGTACTTCAGGCAAGAGATGATGGCAGACTGGGCTAGGGAGCAAGAGCGTGTACTTCAAAGATTGGGCTAGGGCTTCCCTGGTGGCGCAGTGGTTGAGAGTCCGCCTGCCGATGCAGGGGACACGGGTTCGTGCCCCGGTCCGGGAAGATCCCACATGCCGCGGAGCGGCTGGGCCCGTGAGCCATGGCCGCTGAGCCTACGCATCCGGAGCCTGTGCTCTGCAGCGGGAGAGGCCACAACAGTGAGAGGCCCGCGTACCGGGGGGAAAAAAAAAAAAAAAGATTGGGCTGGTAGGATCTGCTAGTGGTTTGGAGGTGGGGTCTGAGGAAGAGGGTATTCAGGATAGCGCTTTGGGTTATGCTATACACCTAGGTTGCTAATGCGGCATTTACTAAGGTAGGGAAGCCTGGAGGAAGAGCAGATTTGGGGGAAGAGCATTTGGATGGATTGATTGATTTTTGAGCATTTGGATTTAGACTTCAACTGTGACATGCATTAGTTGACATCCATGTAGAGACCTCAAGTCAGCAGCTGTATATGTGACCCTGCAGCTCAGAGAAGAGGCCATGAATCTGTGAGTCATAAAAAGACAGAACTTAGCATGGAGATGGTAATATAAGGCTATAAGGCTGGGTAAGCTCACCTTGGGAGCAGGCATGGATGGGGAAAGAGCGAGGCTGAGCCCTGGGCCATCCACTGGTTAGTGGGGAGGAGAAGCTAGTAAAGGAAGCTGCCTCTGAGTTAGAAAAACCAGAGAAGCCAAGGAAGTGTTTAAGGAAGGAGTGATCGATTCTGTAATGCTGCTGAGAGGTGAGAGAAGCTAAGAATTGGTCACTGGCTTTGGTAAGAGGAGGTCATTGGTCCTTGACAAGAGTGGCTTCCATGGAGTGGCATGTGACATAAGACTGTCCAGTGTGAGTCTGAGAGAATGGGCAGTGTGGCAGTGACACCAGAGTCTAGGCAACCCTTTGAAGGATTACACCCGAAAAGGGGGGAGAGAAAAGGAGTGGCAGCTGGAGAAGGACGTGGGCCAAAGAGGTTTTTGTTAGGCTTTGAGATGACACTGATCCAGTAGAGCGGTAACACTGAGCACCGGGGTCCGTGTTGAGGTGAGAAGAGATGGACCCAGAGTGTAAGTGGAAAGGCTGGCTCCAAGTGGTGACTTGTACCAGCGAGTAAGCTGGAACACCTGGTGGTGGGAGGACAAGACAGTTCTCTCCCGGTTGCTTTTATTTTCTCTTGGTATAAGAAGAGGGGCATCGCCTGAGGGTGAGGAGTACGTCTCAGGGTGGGAAATTAACTGTCTAGGGATAGGATGGGCCTCGCCCCAAACCATGCAGCGTCTGAGTTGGATAAAGGACTGCCATCCCTGCAACAGGACGGCTGGAAGTGCATCAGCTCTCTCGAGACCTGTGGATATGAATTGTAAGCTGTTCTGGGACACGGCCAGCATGGAGGCAGGCAGCAGCTCACCTGTGTCTGCAGGACTGCTTGCCAGCTGGCACTCCTGCTGCCAATCCTTGGGCACAACAGGCTCTGTGAGGCGAAGGAAGTCCTGCAGCGGGCAGCGGTGAGGGCAGCCAGGCAGGATCAGCGGCCAGGGGGCCTTGTTACTCTCATTCCGAAAGTACATTTCCACTGAGAAATTCCTGAGGGTTGATAGGAGACAAGATGGGAGCTGCCCACAGTCCCCACGTGAGCGCCCCTCCTCAGGGCAGACCCATAGCTCCACTCACCCAGTATCTTCCTGGTACAGTTCAAATATGTGGCAGGACGCGTAGGGGGCTTGTTCACCATTGTAGACATCCAGCGCCATTTGCAGAGCAACCAGGGTGGTGTCGTGCTGTAGGAGAGAAGGGCTCCCCATCAGCACTGCCCCCCACACCCTCAGGCGCTGAAGAGAGGAGGGATCCAGCTCCTACGTGACGTCAGCACGCTGGGGACTGTGGGAGCTCACCGCAGAGTAGACCAGCAGCTTAGGGAGCTGGGAGGTGGTTGCCATCAGGGTCAGGTTCTTCCGTATCTGAGCCAGCAGGACTCCTGAAGGAGAGAGTCCCCAGTGTCAGTGGCTACAGCCATCACCGTCTTCTGACTAGACCTATCTGAGGTCCTCTCCCCCTCTGCCAGTCCTGGGTCTGATCACCAGCACAGAGAACGCTTTAGATTCAGGGGAACCACGCAAACTCTACAGCAGCCCCTGCTCTCTAATAACTTCCAAATTTACAGAAGGAAGCAAGACAAAACAAGATATCTATATTTCTCACAGGTGCGGAAACCTGCCCATTTATTTATAAAGGAGCTACGAGGCCCTGCCCATGTTTGAAGAATTACTCCAGTTGGGAATAAATATAAACTTAAGATTGCTTCAGAGCACACAGGATGGGGGCTCCAGGCCAGGGGAACTCTGTCATGTTCAGGCTCTGAAAACTTTCTAGATGTTGGAAAGGTCTGGCAGCTGGCACTCCCTTGGGTGCTCAGCTGAAGAAACTGACGTGTATCACTCTCAGCGTCCTTTCAGAGTGGCCCCCGGTGGTCCTCTGGAGGTAGGAGGTCATTTGAGGGAAGGGAGGGTCTTCTGACATGGGTGAAACTTAAGGATATGAATGGCAGAAAAGCACAAAAATCTAACTGTGGTCACTCACACAGTGACAAACATGCTAAGTATCTGCAGAACTGGGGAGACTGGATGGCTGACGGGATAACTGGGGAGACTGGATGGCTGACGGGACAACTGGGGAGACTGGATGGATGACGGGACAACTGGGGAGACTGGATGGATGACGGGACAACTGGGGAGACTGGATGGCTGACGGGACAACTGGGGAGACTGGATGGCTGACGGGACAACTAGGGAGACTGGATGGCTGACGGGACAACTGGGGAGACTGGATGGCTGACGGGACAACTGGGGAGACTGGATGGCTGACGGGACAACTGGGGGGACTGGATGGCTGACGGGATAACTGGGGAGACTGGATGGCTGACGGGATAACTGGGGAGACTGGATGGCTGACGGGACAACTGGGGAGACTGGATGGCTGACGGGATAACTGGGGGACTGGATGGCTGACGGGATAACTGGGGGGACTGGTTCTGAAAGAGCAGAGAACACTTCAGGCAGAGAAGCAAGCATGTAAGAAGCCCCCAGCAGCAGATGTCTAATGCTGTAGGGTTCTGACAGGGGAGTGACATGCTGCTTTTGTCACTCACCCCCCTGCAGCCGGGCCTTCTCTGCCTGCTCGTAGATCCCGAAGAGGAAGCGGAAGCTGAAGTCCTTTAGCCGGCTCAGACGCTGCATGGTTTGAGGCGAGGCCCAGGGCGGCAGGACCAGCCCGTGTGTCTGCTGTGTACGGCAGCGGGCAGGTTAGCTCCCCAGCCTAGGCCAGAGCCTCTCCCGAGAGCAGCTCTCTTCCCACGTGGGACAGTACCTGTGTGTGTGTGTGTGTGTGTGTGTGTGTGTGTGTGTGTGAGAGAGACAGAGAGGGGAGGGAGAGGAGACGCAGAGGGACTGGAACCAGGAGACATGGTGGATGGTGTTTAGGCTGCAGGGAACAGGAAAGCAGGCTTGGGAGCGAGAAGTGTGACTCAGCAGAATGGAGTCAGATACCACGAGAGCTCTGGGTGGACAGAAGCAGGAACTGCTGACGACTGATAAACTATTTCCCACTCTGAGGTTCTTTTTCACCCGTGAGGGAAGTTCCCTTGTTTCACAAGAGGTGGCTTGCTTGGACCTCCCCAGTAAGCATGGTGTCCAGGCACTGTGTTCTACTTGGCCTGGTCACCTAGGCCTGTTGAGGTATGAGAGAAGAGCGGTCACACCGGGGACCCTGAGCCGGCTCACCTCACAGAAAAGTGTGTCGTAGACATTCCAGATGGTCTCCAGTGTCAGGTCCGTAAGCCCTGTCTCGTTGGCCACCATATCCAGAAATTGCTATGAAAAATGGATCAGGGGATCAGTCCTGCCCTGGGGGAAAGGACAGTGTGGTGACCTCCACCTCAGCCCCACTCACTGCATTCTGAATACTCTCATTCTGATACTCCGGTGTCCGCCGGGTCTCGTTCTGCAGCTGTTCAAAACGGGGACATGGGCCCAGTGGGAACTTCAGCAGCTGCAGACCAAAGCGGGGAAGCAGAGGCAGAGAAGGAGTCGGGGATCAGCAGGCCAACGGCCAGAATTGTCTCTGTCACCACCTCTGGGGAAGAGCTGGCTGGTCTTACCCTGTCCTCGGCAATGGGCACAGTGTGGACGGGGATAGGCTGCCAAGAGATGTTTGGGTTAAAGTGCTGCATCCCGTCGGGAGGGAAGAGTCCAGCCAGGTTGGCCTCAGCACTCATGAGAGTCCGGTCAAAGTCTGTACTTCGCACATAAACCTGCAGAGATGACAACATAAGTCTCACCTGTGGGAGCGGGGTGGGAGAGCTCTGGCCCCTCACTGGGGCTCCAGGGGTGGTTCTGTTCTTGATGGTCACCTAGCAAATTATAAATCAACCATGCATCTGGCCCTCTCCCCTTCTCTGGCCTTCCCCATCCCTCTTCCCAGCCAAGGCCCACTCAGCTGGGGGCGTAGCTGTCCCCCATCTGTGAAGAACTCCTGTGGGAATGGCTCTAGTTCAAATGCCCCTCCCAGTCCAAAGTGCTTAGTCAACAAGGCTCTCAGGTCTGTCTGCTTGCCTGGTTTATTACAACACCTGTCTCCCTATCTAGGCCTGGGTCCTTGAGGGCAGAAACTGCCTTCAATCACACCCCCCTTTATAACTGTCTTAGAGACCAGGAGAGGAAATAAAATAAGGAACAGAGATATTTGCTTGTGAAAAGGGAGGAATAAGCTGTGAGAAAGGGCAAGATCAGGATACGGCTGGCCCTCAAGGAAACAATAACAACATCTAGGCACAAAGATCAGATCTGTATGGCGCATCATTATGTGCAATGCTAGCATAGTGCCTGCCCCATAACAGGTACTCAGTAAGTGTCTTGGATGGAAAGCCTGAGTTACTTCACAGAGTCAGAAACTACTTTGCCAGATCCTTAAGTCAGCTTGGATGCTTGATCACTTTTGCCTCTCTCCAAGCCAAGCAGGGGCAACTCAGCCTCTAGGGTTTTGCTCTAGACAGCCATTGGATGTCTTGTCCCGTAGTTGTGCTGTAACTAAAAGCGCATGGAGGGAGGCCAGAGTGCCCAGCCTCACCCGTAGTCTCCCTGAGGATAGAGGGTGAGAACAGCACTTCCCATTTCCCTTGCCTCTAGAACTCCCAGCCTTACCTCTTGCCGGTGGTAAGAGGTGTTGAGGAAGTCACGGTAGCGCTGTCGCAGAGCCTGGCCCAGCTCCCAGTGCTGTAGCATCCCCTCCTGTGGGCAAACCCAAGGGTTAAGAGGCCCACAGGGAAGGGATGGCTCACGATTACCACAGGGCCTAGCCACTATTGCTTTCCAAGTTCTTGGTTGAAAGTAGGAGTGGGTTAATCTGATACCAGGAGTCATTTATTAAGTGGCCGACTGTGCATGGCATTATGTATGCCCATTTTAATCTGGGCACACATGAAAGTAAGATTAAGAAATGTCAAAATCAGCACCCACATGGGAAAAAGCAGTTTGGTAAGGCCCCAAGCTCTGCAGCCTGCTCTAGAGGTCACTCATTCTACAGCTCATCCTGAGAGAGAGCTGGCTTCTGACCCACCTTGGTTAGCTGACCAAATCCCTGGGGCCATTCATCTTCCTGATAGGGGTCCTTGGGGTATGTCTTCACTGGCGAACGGTCTCCATGTCGGTACAGCTGAGGGAAGAAAATGGTTAGCCTACAGGTCAGAAGGGTCCCCTCGATGTGGACACAGAGCCAAACTCTGCCCCATGTTGAGAAGGAGCCGTCACTCCCTCTGGGAAGCCTTAACTCTACCAACTGCAAAAGACCCCAACTCAGAAGTCAGTAACTTCCTCCAGGTTCCAGAGGTTCTAACTTGGCTAAGCAATGTCACTGGAGACCTTGGGAAAATCAAAAGTACAGGTGGGAAAGGAAAAGAAATAAAAGCAATGCAGATGGTGGGGGAAACTGGAAAAAAAATCACCAAAGGTTTTCTTCGCGAGCCTCTTATCATTCAGCTACATCCCTGTCCCAAGGCAGACTCACCCGACCTATCCTCTAATACTGAACTCCGTACACCCTGCCCCCCCAGATACCCTAGAGCTTCACAAAAACTGCGAACCCTGGCCTCCAATCCCGCAGGCCGGTTGTCTCTTCTTAAACCAGCTCCTCCTCCAATGGACCCCAGACCCCAGCAAAGCCCCGCCCATCCCTCCACCCGCAGGCCGGTGCCCTCCTAGCACTGGCGAGCCTTTGGCGACCCCATCTCATTACCAAGGTAACGAAACGCAGACGCCGGGCCTGGGTAGGTGGCATCACCATCAGGTTAACACCAAGGAAGAGCTGGAGAAGAGCCACCCGGCTCCAGCCGAACTGTCTGCCCGCCATCACCGCTGTGGTCTGTGCGGCAAAGAGGCTGGAACCCGCTGAGTGGCACTTGCAGCAGCCGCCCGGACGCACCCTTAAGGACACACGGCGGAAGTGCTCTCGCCGCCATCTTGCTAAAGGGGGGGCAGGGATGGAGGGAGGGGGAATCAGGTAGGGAATTCCTGTAGGAGGTTCGCGATCCCGCCGTGGCGGAGAAGCGTGGGAATGTAGCGCGACCTCGCCCTGCAGAAAGGGCTTGAAGACCTCGTCTTGGTAAAGAGAACACTGAGCGTGGGTTTTGCCTCTGCCCGCGGAGACCCAGTACCAAGGTGGCTCTTGTATTGGGCCGGACCGTGGCCGGCACAGCAAGCGACCCCCTCGGGCCGGGGTGCTGCCGGGCCTGACCTAGAGCGAGAGCGGGTGCAGAATTGGGGCTAGGGGTGGTATAGGGCGCCTTTCTCCACACCCCTTCCTTCGGGTGGAATTTGAGCCTTGGCACTGGCTCTCTTCCCCGGAAGAAGTCTTGTTTTGGGTGTAGGGCACAGCGTGTAAACAGCCCTTTGGACTCCTGTGTCCCTGAGGTTGGTCCCAGTGTAGCCAATGCTCATTTCCTGAGCAAAGCTTCAGGACTCCTCTCACTCCCCCTTCCAGTCCTTTCCCTGTTCTCCCACCCGTCCACTTTCAAGTTTTAGTTAATTAGAATCAAGATGTCATGCCTCTTCTCAAAGGAGTTGGGTTGCACAGGATGTTCAGACTTTGCAAAACCAAAGCAGTGAATCCGTAGGGGCGAAATTTCAGACCAGTGGGGAGATATATAGGGGTAAGGGGAAGGAGCATATACGGTGGGAGTAGGTGGGGTTTCCACAGAATCAGAGAGGCCCTCTTGGCACTGACCATTAGGATACAGGTGCAGCCAGTTGGCTTCAGGGCTTTGTGACTCAGCTTGGAGGGACTCACAGCTCCAGGAGGTCAGATCGTAGGCCCTTGGGATGCTTTGATTCAGATCTGCCCCCTAGTAGCAAATCACCTCAGATCACTGGAGAAATAAAACGTGATCAGAATATATGGAAGAAAGCAGGGTCAGTATCTTGCCCCAGGATTCCAGATTGAATTATTTATATATACCTCAGGATCTAAACATTACTTCCAGAATTGTTATGGAGAAGTGAATAGAAATTGAGAGCTGAAAAGTTAGCCTTATTTAGTCACAAGCCCCCCCCTTTTTTCCTGAATTTTATTTACTTTTTATACAGCAGGTTCTTATTAGTTATCTATTTTATCTATATTAGTGTATATGTCAATCCCAGTCTCCCAATTCATCACACCATCACCATCACCACCCCCGCCACTTTCCCCCCTGGTGTCCATACGTTTGTTCTCTACATTTGTATCTCTATTTCTGCCCTGCAAATCAGTTCATCTGTACCATTTTTCTGGGTTCCACATATATGCGTTAATATACGATATTTGTTTTTCTCTTTCTGGCTTACTTCACTCTGTATGACAGTCTCTAGATCCACCCACGTCTCTACAAATGACCCAATTTCGTTCCTTTATATGGCCGAGTAATATTCCATTGTATATATGTACCACATCTTTATCCATTCATCTGTTGATGGGCATTTAGGTTGCTTCCGTGACCTGGCTATTGTAAATATAGTGCTGCAATGAACATTGGGGTGCATGTGTCTTTTTGAATTATGGTTTTCTCTGGGTATATTCCCAGGAGTGGGATTGCTAGGTCATATGGTAATTCTATTTTTAGTTTTTTAAGGAACCTCCATACTGTTCTCTGTAGTGGCTGTATCAATTTACATTCCCACCAACAGTGCAGGAGGTTCCCTTTTCTCCACTCCCTCTCCAGCATTTGTTGTTTGTAGATTTTCTTTTTTTTCTTTTTTTTGCAGTACGCGGGCCTCTCACTGTTGTGGCCTCTCCCGTTGCGGAGCATAGGCTCCGGACGCACAGGCTCAGGGGCCATGGCTCATGGGCCCAGCCGCCCCGTGGCATGTGGGATCCTCCCGGACCGGGGCACGAACCCGCGTCCCCTGCATCGGCAAACGGACTCTCAACCACTGCACCACCAGGGGAGCCCTGTTTGTAGATTTTCTGATGATGCCCATTCTAACTGGTATGAGGTGATACCTCATTGTAGTTTTGATTTGCATTTCTCTAATAATTAGTGATGTTGAGCAGCTTTTCATGTGCTTCTTGGCCATCTGTATGTCTTCTTTGGAGAAATGTCTGTTTAGGTCTTCTGCCCATTTTTTGATTGGGTTGTTTGTTTTTTTAATATTGAGCTGCATAAGCTGTTTATATATTTTGGAGATTAATCCTTTGTCCGTTGATTCGTTTGCAAATATTTCCCGTTCCGAGGGTTGTCTTTTTGTCTTGATTGTAGTTTCCGTTGCTTTGCAAAAGCTTTTAAGTTTCATTGGGTCCCATTTGTTTATTTTTGTTTTTATTTCCATTTCTCTAGGAGGTGGATCAAAAAAGATCTTGCTGTGATTTATGTCAAAGAGTGTTCTTCCTATGTTTTCCTCTAAGAATTTTATAGTGTCCGGTCTTACATTTAGGTCTCTAATCCATTTTGAGTTTATTTTTGTGTATGGTATTAGGGAGTGTTCTAATTTCATTCTTTTACATGTAGCTGTCCAGCTTTCGCAGCACCACCTATTGAAGAGACTGTCTTTTCTCCATTGTATATCCTTGCCTCCTTTGTCATAGATAAGTTGACTATAGGTGCGTGGGTTTATCTCTGGGCTTTCTATCCTTTTCCATTGATCTGTATTTCTGTTTTTGTGCCAGTATCATATTGTCTTGATTACTGTAGCTTTATAGTATAGTCTGAAGTCAGGGAGTCTGATTCCTCCAGCTCCGTTTTTTCCCCTCAAGACTGCTTTGGCTATTTGGGGTCTTTTGTGTCTCCATACAAATTTTAAGATTTTTTGTTCTAGTTCTGTAAAAAATGCCATTGGTAAATTGATAGGGATTGCATTGAATCTGTCGATTGCTTTGAGTAGTATAGTCATTTGCACAATATTGATTCTTCCAATCCAAGGACATGGTATATCTCTCCATC